ACGACACTTCTCCTTGTCCAAGTCGACCTGGCTAAACGATTTGGTCAACAGATCATATTTGATCAGCAAATTATCTTTTGTAAGTGTGACAAGACATGTCGATCCGTTCAGCAGAGAAGAAATTGGTTAGTCCAAGCCAACGCCAGATGGGCTTCGGATGTTTCGAAACTCTTGATAGGACAAACTCACCGAAATGATCGATATGTGGAAGATGATATGTTTCAAAGTAGGTGACGAATTTTGGTGTCCATTGTTGCTTCTTTTCTCTGTATTGGTCTAGAAATTCCGCTTTTGATCCACATCGTAATAAATTATACACGTCGTCGAGATGTTGTCTAATGAATTCTGTTTTATATGTTTTGTAGAAATTGTTTTGTGATTCGTTGGGTGACATGGTAGATGATGTTGTTGCTGTTATTGGTGACAATGGTGACATTGCCGTTAGACCCACATTTGTTGTTGTTGTTGTTTGTGACTTTGATTGATTGACAACTCCACGGTGAAGTACATTAAAATGATCACGTAACCATTCTTTGATGTTGTTATTGAAATGGTTATGGCATCTCAATAATTTTAACGACGGGAATATGTCGGTGAAAGCATTTTGCAGCGCAAATTCTCCATCCTAAAATTTGCGAAAATAACACGAGGCGATTAGGATAGTAGTTTTCATCCAAGAGGAGGGGAAAAAAGTGATTATAACGAAGATAAAACCTCAGTAAAATGTTAAAATAATCCTCAGAGAACCCACAGTTATTAATAAGCATTTCTGTTCAATTGATTTATGCTTTTTCAATATCTTAGCTAATTCATCATGAGCAGTTTGTTCTTTCGTATCATGGATTAATATACATAATGGTATAATTGGTTGTTCTACAAACAGACGATGCGAATAAGTTAATATCTACAGAAAAAACAACGTTACACTACATACTAAATTACAATTTAGCGAGCTTACTGAAACATAGTAATCCCCAATTTCAAAAGTTGTATCATAATACAGCGGTATCAGTTCATTTGTTAATGTTAATAATTGTGCAAATAACTTTTCTGCTTCAATGTGCTCAAAAACCACGATCAATTGTGGCTTAAAATTTAATACACGAATATAATTTTTCAGTTCATTTGACAATATCATTAAATTCAACATTTCATCGTATGTCACACGTTGATCTTGCAGAAATTTCTGTCGATAATATCGAACTTGTGCCACATCGCGTGGTGGATCTGTGACCGCCGTTCCAACCAGTGTTTTATAAGCATTGGCTTCCTAGAAATAGAGCAAGTATATTGTAAGACGAGTACAGCATGTGCCCATTAAAATAAAAGAGAGAAAAAAACTGATTATATGGTTGTACATCCTCACCAAAAAATCAGGACAAGGCTTGTATAAGAACTTTGTTTTAGTACTTTATGTTATTTTTTTCGTCAAAATACATCACAAGAAAGTCGTAATCATATCCGAAAAATTACTACGTGAAGGTGAAGCTATCCAAAAGGTTCGCTTTAAAATACGACGATAAAAAATACGATACGAAGACCTGGCTACAGAAATGACTCATTTCTGTTTAAAACTCGTTTCTTCCACACTAGCAATGTAAAATCTCCAGTCCGAGTCTACAAAAAAAGAAGTCCGAGACCAAACTCAAACTTCATCAACCCTGAGTAATTGAACAACTTACAGTCGATGATTTCACCGAATTTTTTATCTGAGTCACTATTGACGGTTTTGTTCGTCGATAACCATGTGCTACAGCTGATTTGGCATTACCATGAGGACCAGTTTTCGCAATGGTTTTATTTCCTGAAAAATGGATTTTGAGGTTAATATTTCGAAGTAGAACAGCAGACAGCTTACCAATATACACAACAATTACATCATATTTATTTGAATTTGAAACATATATGTGTTTAACAAATCTTTTGTCGACCACTCCATCATGATTAAAACAAGTAAACCATGTTTTTTTAAATTTATTTTCATGTTTTGGCCACGAAACTGTACCACGATTTTTCCAAGTATAAGCATCAACTATATAATCGCCTAAGAAGCAAAAAGTAAAGCATGGTTACTCATAAGACAGTGACAATCAAGTCGATTCAGTCGAACGGATAACTGAGAAGATTTTTGCGCAAATAGTCCTTATACGTGGCAACAAAAAGCAAACACTTAACTTACCCTTAGTTTCCTCGTTTAAATACAAACGATATACTGTATCTGATTCAATATATTCAGGTAGTTCATCTAATTTTGGTGACTCATTAAGTATTTGATTCAGCTCCTCAACTGATATACTTTTGAGATTTTTGATGTTAAGAGCTATAACACAGAATGATGATAGCGAACAAATTGGAAGCATAAATTTTTTTATGCATACCCATAACATTTATACACAGTTACACTGAGGCGTCACGAATAAGTAAAAAACAGATATAACCGTTTCGAAAAAGAAAATCTGAAAATAATCAAAAAGATATCAGTCTACAAATATTGTATTAAGAAGAATCAGTGGATCACATCAGTTTAATAAATAAAATGAATACTTCGGCTAAATCTCGTCCAAAGTTCTAGTAATCTCAAGACAAAAAAACGACAACTTAATGCTGTACAGATAGCATTTTAGGAAAATAAACAATGAGTACAGACCAAAAGCACATAATTTCTCTGAGTATGCATTTCTGACGATCTGTTCACAGTTTAGCATACGATAATCGCCGTTTAAGATTGTTGCTTCGTACGACAAGAGTTAAAGAGAATAAAACGCGAAACTCAAAATGCAATACGGTAAGTATGAGCTAATATTATAATATAATAGGACAGCGGCGCATCAGCATGCTTACGCTGGTATTTAAAGCTGCGCATCAGAGACCGCAACGGATCAAAATAATTTCGACCTATCTGAGCGCGACCGAATGACTAGAAAATATTTCTCCCTGACCAAGTCGCTTAGCCAAGTCGACTTGGACAAGGAGAAGTATCGTTGAAATGACGATATCCTAGAATAATGCTCCCTTCACCGAGTCGACTTGGACAAGGAGAAGTATCGTTGAAATGACGATATCCTAGAATAATGCTCCCTTCACCGAGTCGACTTGGACAAGGAGAAGTATCGTTGAAATGACCATATCCTAGAATAATGCTCCCTTCACCGAGTCGACTTGGACAAGGAGAAGTATC